AAGTGGAATGAATGGATCAAATGGATTGTCGTGAGACCATGAAAAGAGAAAATGAAGTAGATTGTAAAACGCATATGTGTATTATACAGAGTTAAGAAGATGTAAGGAGGACGTGTAGGGGAGCTAAATGTGAAAGCGACTGTCTGCGTTTCATCCCTAAGCTGCAAACACAGACAGTATATGGTGTGGATTGAGGTGGGAATCATCAGTGCAGCCCCACAATCCACCATTTGGAAATACTGATAACATGAATGCATGGTAGGAGAAGAGCAAAGGAAAGAAAGAAGATGGGGAAGAATAAATGGTGGAAGGATAAAGAAAAAAAAAAGGATAAAGAACCTGCCATGCAAAGCTACGGAACTGCTGGAGGACAGGGAAATACCCGGAGAATTACGGGAACTTCTACCCTTTCCATTATCCCAACTTCCCACACACCCGCTTCCCGATGTACGAACCTGTCAAAAGTATGTAGAACCCCGTCCCGTAGGCGCCACAAACGCGTGGAACTCGCCACGCAAGGCTACGAAAACGAAAAACCCCGTCATACAAAACAACGAACAAGCAGAACCCCCCTTCTCGTCTAACGCCACCTCCCGCCTCCTTCGCTCCCCTCCTCTGCATGTCACAAGCACGCACAACCGATGCCACGTACGTCCCAACGATACACGTCGAAGCCGAATGAGTTATAAAGAGGAATTGCTAAAATTCGGCTTGGCCTGGCTCGGCCCGCACCATGCACGACTTGCGAAAATTTTTCCCGGGTGATGGCGGGTAAAGCTGCCCGGCGGTTGCAAGAGTCAAGGGAGCGGACCGGGGGAGGGGGAATGGGGGGAAAGGGAAAATGTTCAAAAAAAAGGAAGCTGTACATTAATTTGCGAGCTAGTGGGTGTACAAAGTAAGGTTTTAAATGAACGTGCAGATTTACATCGATTTTGAGTGCACAAGCTAAATGTAAGACTTAAATCGTAATGCAGTTTATCGCAAAACTGCATATCGCACTGGCAAGCCTGGTGCGTTTCAGCCTGGGCTTTCATTTGCTAACTCTTACCAATGGCTGAAAAGGAAGTCAATGAAGCATCCCATCCAAAAAAGTAGAGGATCTGTCGAGAATCGAACCCGGGACGTTAGCGCGGCAGACGGGCGCTCTGCCACTGAGCCAAGGCCGAGCCGCGGGCAGGATCCGAACCCGGGAC